TAAACCATCTTATGGTGATAGCAAACTTACTCACCACCGATCATGGTCTCTCCTCCCTCGCCCAACTGCGCCTGGTGTAAAATCACAGTCAAAGAGACCGGAGGCGGGCACGGCGCGAACCTGAACCTAGGTGTGCCACCACCACAACCCCCTAAATGTGCGCATCCCCACTAATGCCTGCCTTACTCTGATGAGGATGTGGTGTTGGTTCAACGCACCTACCTCGTGGCAGCTTTTAGAGGACACAAACAAGACACTAAAAGAGGCGGATTAGAGAGGAAATGGGAAAGCGGCTCACTTTGGATGAGGGCATCAATCTGAGCAAGGGCGTAGCAAGAAATATTGGGATCATTGGAAGAAATCTGGGTGACAACCATGGTGATGGCCGATGCTGCATCTGGGCTTGTTCGCAGGAGGACATTGAGGGCGGGTTGGGTGGTCCGGGTCCTACAAATAAACATACACAGCAAAGATTAACGCCAAGTGTAAAGGTTAAATATGGTCCAAAGTGTTCGCCATTAGCTTGAGAGTTGAATCGCCCACACAGAGGCCAGCAACGACATAGTTGTGCCAGAATTACGGCACCAAGAGGTATGTTTCTGGAGGTGATGTACGCAAAAACGCTCGCCCAAGACCAGTCCACGATCGCTGCTGGAGTTTGACGTTTTTCATGCCCATAACGCATTCGTTATTCTCTTAGAAAGCTCCAGCGGTATTCATGCCCGCGTCGGTGGCTCTTCAGACCCGGATGAGCTACTGATTCATGAAGCATAACTCGACCTCAAAAATGACATTCAAGCTAAAGACGGTCACCACAAGGGGATAAAACCACCGACTAACGCTGAAAACTTCTCAGAGGGCCAATAAAATGGCTGCGCTCGTTCTTTTCGGATCCGCGTCAGGCTCTAGTAGTACAGCTAGATGCAAGCACGTACCCTAGGCATTACGCTTGAATTTATATCGCATTTGCCTGGCTCAGACTTGCTACTGGGACGTGAGTGAGAGAAGAATGTGAGGCCGATACAGCTGAAATTCAGTGTGTAATTTCCTCAGGATAAACAAGCAACACACGTGTCAGGGTGTTAACGGCTGCCAACTGACGGGCTAACTCGGCCCCCCTCAAGACTAGAGAGCAAAACCAAAGAGGCCTTGCTACTGAGAGATTCGATTAGGCTGGATATTGAGGAGCACATCGGCGTTCCCAACCGTTTGACGTGGTTTCATTATTCACATCAGCCCATCGGATCTGGCACGCGACGTTCTACGCAGAGGACTTGAGGATAAGTACGAGAGGGTATTCAATGTGTACGAACCAGCGTTCTGGCGCCGACACGTAGACGAAACATTCGTTATAATCGACTGCAGCAGATTTGCAAGACCTGCTCAGAGACAAGTTCACTGACATTCAATTCAAAATGCTTAAATACCTTAACAACCACCCAATGGCGCATAAACGAGGCTTTATCAGAGCACCCTTTCGGAACGTAAAGCACCCTGCAGTGAATCTGAGGGAAGAATGCGAGAACTACGGCACCTTCGGGACCAACTGGCCAGGGATGGATAGCCGAACAGGTTCGTCAGCAGTTGCCTCCGTACGCGTTCACAGGGAACAAACGGAGGAGGGTCATCAACACTCAGGCACCCTCTATCGTACATGAATAATGTGCCAGAAGAAATGAAACGTAGCGATGC